CTGCCTGGCCACACTAAAAGCAGATCAACTGGCCCGTAGCACACGGCCCCACATGAACCTTCCCACATCTCGTGCATCTGGGAGCAGGAGGTCTCGCTGTACTCCCCTGAGTGGGAGTCCTCTTAAACTGATTTGGCGCTTGCCTAGCCTCCAACTGCTTCCCTTTGCCCTTGCCAGTAAACTTCTTGTCCCCCCAGGAAGTGGAACTACCAGTTCCCTTCGTCTCAGCAATCTTAGCCCTCTTGGCCTTACTCGTAATACAGACATCCTTGATGTCCCGACACTGTTGTACCAGTGTCCCAAAATCTCTCGATGCAGCACCAGCAATCCTGTATGTGATCTCCTCATTAAGTCCCCTGCGGAACTTAGCAGCCAAGAATGTCGGAGTAGGCATAGCCATCCGAAAGTGCGCAAACTTTACCAGCTCATTAAACTTAGCCAGGTACTCATCAACAGACATCGAGCCCTGCACTAATCTGTCAAATTCCCCCTGCTTCCTCTCCTGCGCATCACAAGGGAAGTACCCGCCCAAAAAGTAGTCCTCGAAGAATGGCCATGTCATCACATGACCCTGCATCTCATAGGCGTGAGAGGTGTTCATCCACCACTCATGTGCATCGCCCTCCAACATATATGTGGCGAACATCAACTTCTGCGGGTCGGTACACTGCATAACCCGAAAGATCTTCTCAAACGCCTGTAGCCATCTCGCCGCAGCAATAGGATCATAAGATCCATTAAAGAAAGGTGGCTTATGCTTGCGAAAAGCATTAAGCCGACAGTCTATCACGTCACGATCCTCAGCAGGCTCCAAGTAGGGTTCCATCACCCTAGTAAGAAGAGTGACACCCTCAACGTGACTCAGGCTCTCGTCCTGAAGACTGGGTGGAGGCGGTGGTGGCGGTGGCGGTGGCGGTGGAGGTGGAGGTGGAGGTGGTGGTGGAGGTGGTGGTGGTGAAAACTGACCCTCGTTGCGGCCAGCCTGCATTTCCTCTAACATGACCCTCATCATAGTTATGTTCGCCAGTCTGTTCGCCTCAAGAACATCTTCCGTGGCCTTCCGATTTGCCTCTCGAACGGCATCCATCATTGCCAAGTTGGTCAATCTAGCGGCCTCCTGATCGGCTAGTCTAGCCGCCTGCATCTCAGCTAATGCAGTCAGGACAGGATTCGGCTGATCCTCGTTCATCTCTAGGTTTCTCCTAGGTATTACCATAACTCTGCACAAGTTACACAAAGAATGAGTTGATCAGGCCCACGTAATGTGGTCACACATGTATCATCATAGCAAAATCCATCAGAGGAAACACAAGAGACAGACTCGCAACCAAACATCCTAAGTTATTGCAATACATACAGGCTTTTCCCAAGAAAGTGCTCTGATACCATAAAATGTAACACCTCGTGTATACCCGGTTTGTTAACATGTCATCGTATTAAGCCACGCTTAATTAAAAATGCAGAATATCTTTTTCTTTTCAATTATGACGTCATTATCATTACCAAGTTGAATTACTTAATTCATTTCCAAAACATTGCTTGTATGTAAATTGCAAATAGACAGCTAACTGAATTACCTCAATACATAAATATCTGTGAGTATCTAAGTCACAGAGCTACAACACGTAGACCGAATATAATCTTGATACCATTATACAACTCGAATCTAAAAGCATAAAGTCAAGTCAATGTGGCAAGACAATCCCCATGCTCACCAAATAAGGCACAAGCCTAACAAGTCTCAACAACAACATCATAATAATAAAGGTAGTAAATCAGAATAACAGCTAGTCATATCAGCATAACATCTAACACCTCAACTAAGCTCTGGCCTCCTGCCGCCCGAGGTCTCAACCCCAGCGTTACCTGAACCTGAAATATGTGCCCCAAACGTGGGATGAGATCTCTAAACAGAAATCTCAGTAAGACAAGGGGGGTTGTTGCTACTCACGGCAAGTGCACCGATCGTACAAGTAATATATGATTAAGTAAGAGATCGTTCCCACGAGGATTACGGTTCAAGCACTAATTCACTATCGCAAACTTAGTTGGACAATCGAAAGTGTATTTGGAAACAGGATTTGAATTGCAAAATTAAAATATTAAATATTAAGCTAATTACTTGCAACAATTAAAGACAAGAAATTAAAGATGTGATTTAACTAATAAAATAAAAATGTAGCTAGGGGTTCGATTTCATTTAATCTCCTTATTACGTTTGAATTCCTTCTTAATGTTAATTTTCCTTAGTATCAATCTAATCAATTCTTTCGCATGTTATTAGAGCTCAATCCCTTGTTACTCTAAAACCTTTACAATATTGGAAGAACCCTAGTTCCTCGGTTATTCCCCAAGCATGCAAGCATTAAGTTCAAGAATCTTAAAGATTACGCAAACCCTATGTCTATCCCTAGAATCATAGGGTTTACGATGAAGTTATCAAATATGGATCACACACCAACATTCCTATTGTCATGCATTCACCGATGATCATTATATAAGATTCAAGCCTATATAAAGCATTAAAAACAGATAACTTCATTCATGATATAAAGGAAAATTAACACAGCGAATTGTTCAAAACATAATAAATTGACTAAAATCCATCTAACCCTAACTACTTAAAGAACTAGCCGGACATAGCAAAATCAAGAACAAAAGAAAATAGAAAGGCTCCCCCAAACTCCATAGGTGATTGGTGGATCTTCAAAATCTCCAGTGAACACTTGACGTTGATCTGTCTCCGCCGCTCACGAACATGAATCTGATGTTCCTCCGCGTTCCTTCAGCCTCCAAGCACCCAAAAGTTGTTTTGCAATGTAAAAGTTCTCTATTTCTGGTCCCCAATGGTGTTTTAAATAGGTCAAGAGTTCGTATTGCAGTAGAAAACTTGAATGGGCCTAAGTTGGACTTGTCTGGGCGCTTAAGCTTGTGAATGGGGGCTTAAGCTCCCACTTCTAACAACTTGATAAGATCTTCAATCTTATTGTTTTCACCTTGATTCATCTTCTTTTCTGATTTGATCTCTCTTTATCTAAATCTTCATATTTGAATAATTTGTTATCAAATCCCTTTAAAAATAACAATATATTAATTAGTTCCAACAGTCAGATAATGTTCATGATTATCATTTTAAAACCCTAATTTTTGACTTGTTCAACTAGATAATTCATATTATTTTAGTCCATTAAACAAGATAAACTAAAGGTTTATCAAACAATTCCCAGATTTGAACATTGCTGTCCTCAGCAATTAATTAGAATAAAACTATGGGAAAGTTTGGAGACGGCTAGTCATGCTTGATGAATAACAGGCAGAAAACTGATCAATAATGAGATATCAAAGTATTCAGACTTATTAAAAATCAATGACACATCAATTTCAAGCAAACAGTCATAATTCACCAGTCATAAAATCATAACATGCGTTCTCAAAAGAAAGAGTAGTACAATTTAATTTCCACAACACCCTCTCACTGGATTTTTATTTATTCACTCACATTCAGTGTTTAAGGGTATGTGTTTCACTCTTACTTCACTAAATTAACACTACCATAAGCTTGTTTATATTCTCACTCTCCACAGTCTTACTAGTATACAAAGTCAATCAAGAGGTCTTTGTTAAGGTTGTGACGTGGCTTAGGTAAAAGGAAAGGAATCATCTGGGTAAGTGGCTTAAGATAACTGATCAAAATTCAACTTCAAAGAGGAACTAGTTTAACTGTTCAACATATAGTAAACAGATTTCTCTTATTTTCCTCCTCTTTTCTTCTTCCACTTATTCATATAATATAAGTCTTTTATTTCTTTTCCTTCTTCCTTTTGTTTTTCTTTTTCTGTTTTTGTACAGATAAACAATTCAACCTTTTTCTTTTCATTTCCTTTTTCCACCACTTTGTGGCAATTTCCCTCTTTTCACCTTTTTCTCCCATACACTTAGAGTTTGATTTTCTCTTTTTGTTTCAATCCTATCCAGTTCCTCATTTAATTTTGAAAATTAATCAGTTCAGATGAGGATGTGTATGGAATGGCTATTCATAATGTACTGTCAATGAACAAACAGGCCTCGGCTCAAAAGGGCTTAATCTAAGAATAAACCTTTAGGGTGGCTATTTGGCTATCTAGCTTTTAAAAAGAACTGCCTCTATCATTTCAACAATTGTATACTACAGACCATTTCAAAGAGAAACAAAACAAGTTCTAGAGTGATTCAACAGTAAAGTTCACACCACAAAAAAATTCTGTTTAGGCTCAAAAGCTTACGGCTAAGGATGTGAGACTTATTTTTCCACTCTCTCTTTGATTACTCTAGTTATTCTTCTCTTATTCCAGTGAACTATGAAGCATGCTTGATTGACGCTCATTTATGTACGAAAATAAAATTTATTTACATCATTATACTCTTGATATCAACTATCAACCAATTTCATGTAATTATTCATTATGCATCCATATCAAGCACAATGGAAAATCTCTTAAGATCCACTAATTATTTATTGACTAAGATGGAAGGGGTCTTAAAAATAATTTAAAAAAAAAAACTTAAATATTAAACTAACTAATATATATGAAGACCTTAAAATAAACTAATACTAAATCAAAATAATATATTTAAAATCATATAATATGAAAATAATATTGAGAAACTCCCCTGAAAAACTGCATTTGTAATTTGGATATTTCTGTGTACTCCGTGTAATCAAGAGTTTCTTCTTCCGACCATGTGAAGTTTATGGTCTGATGAATTGCATGGTACCCATCCCCAGATTTAAATCTTGCTGTCCTCAGCAATAAACTTAAATCTAAAATAATCCTAAGCAAGAAATCAGAAAAATTTGATACTGTACTCTGCACACATGTCACAGATAAAAAAACTACGTCAGCATGTCATATCCCAAAAAAAAAAATCATAGTCACGTCAAGATCAGTCTCAATATACATCTCATATCAACATGAACTAAAATCAACAAAAGAAAAAAAATCTAAACATTGAGACAATGGTCAATCCTCATCAATTTCAGTAGTGGGTGCAATATCATTTCTATCAGCATCCTGTGTAGTGTCTGCAACCATATCAGCATTAGTATTTGAGTATCCAACATGTTTGCAAAGTTAGTGCAATTTCCACATAACAATTCCCAGATTTATATTCAGATGCATCTGAAAATAATGATGAGTATATGGAACTGAAATACTTTAACAGTATGCATAATGTCAAAGATGAACGCGCTTAAGCGCGCTGAGGCAGTGAGAAATTGGATAAAATTTTATTTAACGCGCTTAAGCGCGCTAAGGCCGAGAGAAATTTCACTTTTTTGGGGGCTTAAGCCTCCTTTAAGGGCTTAAGCTCTCAATACTTAGAAAATTTTCTCCATATTTTCCTATTCCTTGCATTCATCTCTACTGTGTATTCTTCCACCTCAATAATTCTGCTCAATATCATACACAAAACATATAAATGAATAAGAGTTGCGTACCTGTGTATGCTTTAATCCCACTTACACCTGAAAGTCCATCTCAACAGAATTTGATCATTAACCTCAATGTTTTTATTTTTTTGATTTTTATGATATGACTAAAATAAACTATGCTAAGAATAATTAAAATAAGCTAAACTAAATTTAAAATACTATACTAAAATGTTGGAAAATAAAAAATATAGTTGGGTTGCCTCCCACAAGCGCTTGTTTTACGTCACGAGCCTGACGTACCTCTTTTATGTTCATGGTGGTTCAAAGCATGGGCTTGGTGATGACCAAGCTCTATCATTCAGAAATGGTGTCCTCCCATAGTACTCTTGTGCATATGAGTGAGATGAAGTAGGCTCAATAGCTTTGAATTTTGTGTTTACGTGTTTTCCTTGCTCCTGAGCTTCTCCATTTTAACCTTTGGCTTACTTTCTTGAGAAGAATTCTCTTTGTGCTCTTCTTCTCCTTTCTTTTCACTAATATAGTAGACTTGATCTTCCGGTTGAATTATAGGTGAGGGAACTTCTTTATCAAAGAACTTGAAAATTGCTTGCTCCCCGTCTACCCGTAAGATCAACTCGCCTTTCGGTACATCAATCAGCGCTCCTGAGGTTGCCAAGAAAGGTCTTCCGAAGATCATAGGAATAGTAAAATTTTCCTCTATATCAAGGATGACAAAATCAACAGGAATGATGAATTTGTCAACCTTTACCAGTATGTCCTCAATAATGCCATAAGCTTGCTTTGTAGAGCAGTCAGCCAGTTGAACTATTGTCTTGGTTGGCCTTACTTCAGTGATCCCCAGTTTCTTCATCATAAATAGTGGCATCACGTTGATGCTGGCACCGAGATCACATAGAACATTTTTCACTTCCATATTGCCTATGTTGCATGGAATGCTGAATCTTCCTGGATCTTTAAGCTTTGGAGGCAACTTTTTCTGGATAATGGCACTGCATTCCTCTGTCAGCGTCACCGTCTCACATTCTTGTAGCTTACGCTTTCGTGATAGAAGATCTTTCATGAACTTTGCGTAATTGGGCATGTTCTCCAAGGCCTCAGTAAACGGGATATTGATTTGCAGCTTCTTGAAAATGTCAAGGAATTTGGAATACTGCTGCTTTTTGATTTCCTCTCTGAACCTCTGCGGATATGGAATCTTTGCATAAGGTGAGAGCTTCAATGGCTTTTCTTGCCTTTCTTGAGCTTTCTTTTTCTCCCATTTGAACTCTTTCTTCTCAGGAACAGTTTTCTCTGCAGCAAATTCTTTGGCAACTTCCTTTTCTTTTTCCTTTTCAGTTGCAATATCATCATCTTTCTTTTTCTCAACTGAAGGCTTTACCACAGGTTCAATGTCTTTCTCACTCATAGTAGTAATCGCATTGCAGTGTTCCCTACTTGGATTTGGAATAGTGTTACCTGGAAAAGTTCCTTGAACTCTTTCAGTGAACTGCTTTGATAGCTGGCCAATCTGAGTTTCAAGATTCCGGATAGAAGTTTCTTGATTCCGGAATGAGGCCCTTGTCTCTTGCATAAAGGCTGAAGTGTCTTCTCTAAAATTATTGGAACTTTGAATGTAGTGTGATGTGGTCTTGGATAGTTGTGCAAAGGCCTTTTCCCATTCTGATTGTTGAGGAGGTTGCTGTTGCACTGGCATAGGAGGATTCAGCTGATGGTTCGAACTGTAACTAAATCCCGGGTGTTGATTTTGATTTTTATTTCTCCACCCTTGATTCTGATTATTGCCGTATTGGTTCCTCCCTGGATTATATGGAGCTTTTTGATCATGCCAAATTCCATTAACATCTGCAGTTTCGGGTGCCTTGCAGTCATCAGTAGCATGAGCACCTGCACAAATATCACAAACAATAGAAGAAGTATTAACAGAAGCTATTGGAGTATTAACAGAAGAAACTTGAAAATCAGAAAATTGCTTCGTGAGAGCATCTAGTTGTTGTTGCTGTTTCTTATTAAACTGTAGAATCTGATCATTCTGGGCCAGGATAGCATCATAGCCATCAAGCTTCATAATCCCCGCTCTTCTCTGTGGTACGGGAGCATTATCATACTCCTGAGAGGCTAAAGACTCTAATAATTCCAAGGCTTCCTCTGGAGTTTTTGTTTTCAAGGACCCTTGATGCAGCATTCACCAATGTTCTTGTGTTGGGCTTCATCCCTTGGAAGAAAGTTCTCGCTTGTTCCCAGGCTTCAATGCCATGTTGGGGAAACTTCCTGAGTAGTCCTTTGAATCTTTCACATGCTTCATATAGAGATTCACTTTCTTTTTGTTCAAAAGAAGTGATATCAGCCTTGAGCTTTGCCATTTTCGAAGATGAGAAAAATTTGTCTAAGAATTTGGTTGCCAAGTCATCCCAGTGAGTGATGCTTCCTTGAGGTAACGATTGCAACCATCCTCTTGCTTCGTCTTTAAGTGAACATGGGAACAATCTGAGCAAAATAGCATCCCGAGACACCCCATTCATCTTCAAGGTATCACAATATAACAAGAAGTTTTCCAGATGGATGTAAGGGTCTTCCGTGCTTCCTCCGGCAAATTGGTCTTTCTGAATTAATTGTAAAAGTGCCAGCTTGAGTTCGAAGTTGTTAGCATCCACGTTTGGTCTAACAATACTCGCCGTCTGTGGAACTCGAGCAGGAGTCATGTAATCTCCCAACGTTCTCGGAGGTGGTGGAGGTGCATTGTTGTCTCCCATTGCTTCTTCTCTTGGTTCTGTTGAGCTTGAAGCATCTTTCTCTTGTTGTCTTCTTTCTTTAGCAAGTTTTATGTTTCTTTTTGCTGTTTTCTCTATCTCCGGGTCAAATTGCAAGGAATCGGTGTCAACGGTACCTCGCATAAACCAGAAAAATAGATTATATAAAATAAGAAAATAAAACTGAATTTAAATAATAGAAATTTAAATAACAGAAAATAAGGTCCAATCTAAAGAATTAATAGCTACTATTAATGTTGAAATAGTAATCCCCGGCAACGGCGCCAAAAACTTGTTGCTACTCACGGCAAGTGCACCGATCGTACAAGTAATATATGATTAAGTAAGAGATCGTTCCCACGAGGATTACGGTTCAAGCACTAATTCACTATCGCAAACTTAGTTGGACAATCGAAAGTGTATTTGGAAACAGGATTTGAATTGCAAAATTAAAATATTAAAAATTAAGCTAATTACTTGCAAGAATTAAAGACAAGAAATTAAAGATGTGATTTAACTAATAAAATAAAAACGTAGCTAGGGGTTCGATTTCATTTAATCTCCTTATTACGTTTGAATTCCTTCTTAATGTTAATTGTCCTTAGTATCAATCTAATCAATTCTTTCGCATGTTATTAGAGCTCAATCCCTTGTTACTCTAAAACCTTTACAATATTGGAAGAACCCTAGTTCCCCGGTTATTCCCCAAGCATGCAAGCATTAAATTCAAGAATCTTAAAGATTACGCAAACCCTATGTCTATCCCTAGAATCATAACGTTTACGATGAAGTTATCAGATATGGATCACACACCAACATTCCTATTGTCATGCATTCACCGATGATCATTATATAAGATTCAAGCCTATATAAAGCATTAAAAACAGATAACTTCATTCATGATATAAAGGAAAATTAACACAGCGAATTGTTCAAAACATAATAAATTGACTAAAATCCATTTAACCCTAACTACTTAAAGAACTAGCCGGACATAGCAAAATCAAGAACAAAAGAAAATAGAAAAGCTCCCCCAAACTCCATAAGTGATTGGTGGATCTTCAATATCTCCAGTGAACACTTGACGTTGATCCGTCTCCGCCGCTCACGAACATGAATCTGATGTTTCTCCGCGTTCCTTCAGCCTCCAAGCACTCAAGAGTTGTTTAGCAATGTAAAAGTTATGTATTTCTGGTCCCCAATGGTGTTTAAATAGGTCAAGAGTTCGTATTGCAGTAGAAAACTTGAATGGACCTAAGTTGGACTTGTCTGGGCGCTTAAGCTTGTGAATGGGGGCTTAAGCTCCCACTTCTAACAACTTGATAAGATCTTCAATCTTATTGTTTTCACCTTGATTCATCTTCTTTTCTGATTTGATCTCTCTTTATCTAAATCTTCATATTTGAATCATTTGTTATCAAATCCCTTTAAAAATAACAAATATATTAATTAGTTCCAACAATCAGATAATGTTCATGATTATCATTTTAAAACCCTAATTTTTGACTTGTTCAACTAGATAATTCATATTATTTTAGTCCATTAAACAAGATAAACTAAAGGTTTATCATGCAGCCCTAGCGCCAAATGGGGCAAAATGTTCCTTCATCACATTATTCATGCACATGCCCTTGACATGTATTGTGAGATGTGAATAAATCTTAAGTGGGACCTAGATTCAGTACATTCCACTAATAAGAGTATTATACATCAGAGGAAGAGAGAAAATTTGGCAGAGTGGAGAGAATTTTGACTTATATGTAATGTTTCTATTGGTGGGATGCACTGAATCTTTGGTGCAAGAGTAGTACTAAAATTTTATTTGTGAGACACTCTCTCACGTTATAATGGGACTGATAGGATAAAAATAGTTAGACTCATCTTTTCGAATCTTTTTTCCTAATAAATATCACACTCTTCCATTGAGGAGTCATCTTTTACACATCACTCCCCATTGTTATTATTATGTTGTAATCCAGCATCAAACACAGCAATCGTGCCATTTATGTCCCATTATTCTCAACTTTTGCTTGAGACTTCATCGGTAATTTCACAATTGAGCTTCAATTCATATTATTGCATCAGTAAATCACTGTTATATTGAGATACTTTAGCCTTAATCGGAAATAGCTCTACTTCCCAATCTCAAACACATCAGGAGCTAATTGCATTTTTGTCTTAGAACTTGTAGTGCTACTTTTAAACTGCCTCTTATAATATTAGTTTTATCGTAAGTTTAAACTCTTTAACATTGCATAAGTCATTTAATCTCCGAACTCAAAGTAACTTGGTGCTTGAATTTGAAAGTGAGTACTGACCTAATTTCTTAATTGACCTCAAGAACATATGAAAGGAAAAAAAATTATAGATATATACTCTGTTTATGCATTCCATATTTTTCTTAAACTAAATAAGAAAAGAAAAGAAAATTAAAAATCATCCACCGATGGAGTGAATCGTGTATTCGATGATAGAAAGCATAACAAGTATTAGAAGGGAAATCAAATTATGATAGCTCAGTTGGCACATGAGAAATGAGTAGGTGAAAGTAAGAGTATATGTTCGATCTTTTTTAGTACTATCTTTAAAAAGAAACTTAAGATCTTAATTTTAGACTAGCACCGAACAGAATTAACTGCTATGGTACATGTGATTCATGAAGAAAAAAAAAAAAAACTATTAAAAGGGAAAAATCACATTGGTCCACAACATTGAGGAGCTTTTATGACAAGCATATGTAGTCCTACTTTGTTAATTTCTGAAAAATGGAGGAGCTTTATGATCATATGAAGGTAGTGAAACATCGTTTTCCATATCCACCAATTCTGACAGTGCTCTCTGAGTCTCACAGAATGTCAATGCCATCTCGTGTCTCCAACTAAAGCAGCCATCTAGACCAGTCAATTAGCCAACCCCACCCTAATACTCAGTTCGTGAACTAAAGACATAGCTATCACTTTGGAATATCCTAGTCCTAAGTCCTACTCCATCCATCACATTACTGTGCCATGTTCGTGAGACATCATCTTTGCATCAATGCAATGCCTTGCAGTTGCAGTTGCAATTCCAATTCAGAAGTCACATAATTGCCTGTGTTGATACATAATATAATATAAAATTATTAATATGAATTAAATTTTTGGATTAAAATAAATTTTTAACCTAATACTAAAAAATTTATAATCAAGGGATTAGATTTGAATGCTAGAATCGCTGCTTTGGCGTTGTTATCGGTGAGCCTTTGCCTTACAACGAATTATAAATTTATAATATAATTCAAAAGAGAGGACAAAATTTACCTTAAGGGGCGTTTGTTATTGGGTTTATTTTCGATTCCCCGGAAAAGCATGTTTAGATAAATACCAAATCCATGTTTGGTAGAGAAAAAAGAAAAAATTCCAGACACCAAACGTTTCCGGGAAAATCAAGTTATGCGCAATTTGTTGCACAGTATCCAAAAGTAAAATGCCATAAATTGGATGGAATGTTTTGTTGTCTGGGAAACTAGAGATTGAGGTGTCAATTAATAGACAAAATTAACCTTTACAAAAGCAGTAAACAGATTGGTACAATTTAAAGTGGGGTTATTTTTGTAAAATAACCTCACTTTCCCACTAATATTTTTTTTTTTTTTTTGATAACATTAAGGGGCGAAGCCCCAAACAAAAACAAACTAACAACCAGAAACAAAAAATAACTATCCAGGGTCTATATCCCTACAAGAGGAGATTCCCTGAAGATCGTGATCAAATAACTGAGCAAGGTGAAACGGCATAACTCTATGACTCCAGAATCCAGTATCTTTGTGAAGAGCAGACTTGGCTAACCAATCAGCACAGGAATTAGCTTCTCTTGGAATATGAGAAAGCGTTACCTCCCAATCCTGACCGATGAGTGCTTGTATCTTAGCCACTATACGAGGCTGACAAGCTGCATTGCAATCAGCAAGCAAAGAGAATACTTCAGAAGCATCTCCTTCTAGTTCCACCTTCTTAAATCCCAGTTGCCAAACCAATTCCAGACCTTTTAGAGTTCCCCAAAGCTCCGCCATTAAAGGAGTGCAAGCACCAATATGATACTCAAAGCCTCCCAACCAAGAGCCATCATCAGATCTGATAATCCCACCACAAGCAGCCACCTCAGTATTCCTTTCAACTGCCCCATCAATATTAATCTTCACCCAATTTAACCTTGGAGGTTTCCATAAACTCATACGAGTTGGATGAATGCTAGTAGTAGCCATAGCCTTCCTACCCATGCAGTTACGAACTTCCTCTATATACATAGCAATTATGTGCGTTCCATGGGTTGGATTCTTGAAGTTAGTATCATGGACACTTTTGTTCCTCCATCCCCAAATGAACCAACAAGAGATAAAAAAGACATCACGCCAATCATCTGAATTACTTTGATTCCAAGCTTTTGAGATATTATT